TCTCTTTTTATAAAAAAATTTTCGAAAAATTTTCTTTTTATAAAAAATTTCGAAAAATTCTCTTTTTTATAGAAAATTTTGAAGTATTTTCTTTTATAGAGAATTTTCGATAAATTCTTTTCTTATAAAATCTTCAATAAATTCTCTTTTTTTTAGAGAAATTTCAATAAATTCACTTTTTATAGAGAATATTCCATAAATTCTCTTTTTATAGAGAATTTTCCAGTAATTCTCTTTTACAGAGAATTTTCGATAAATTCTCTTTTTATAGAGAATTTTTAAAACATTTTCTTTTTGTAGAGAATTTTCCATAAATTCTCTATTTATAGAGAATTTTTAATATATTCTCTTTTTTATATACAATTTTCTAAAAATTCTCTTTTTATAGAGCATTTTTAATAAATTTTCTTTTTATAGAGAATTTTTAAAAAATTCTCTATTTATAGAGAATTTTCAAAGAATTCTCTTTTTATAGAGAATTTTCAAAGAATTCTCTTTTTATAGAGAATTTTCAAAGAATTCTCTTTTTATAGAGAATTTTCAAAGAATTCTCTTTTTATAGAGAATTTTCAAAGAATTCTCTTTTTATAGAGAATTTTCAAAGAATTCTCTTTTTATAGAGAATTTTCAAAGAATTCTCTTTTTATAGAGAATTTTCAAAGAATTCTCTTTTTATAGAGAATTTTCCATAAATTCTCTTTTTATAGAGAATTTTCGATATATCTCTTTTATAGAGAATTTTCGATAAATTCTCTTTTTATAGAGAATTTTCGATAAATTCTCTTTTTATAGAGAATTTTCGATAAATTCTCTTTTTATAGAGAATTTTCGATAAATTCTCTTTTTATAGAGAATTTTCGATAAATTCTCTTTTTATAGAGAATTTTCGATAAATTCTCTTTTTATAGAGAATTTTCGATAAATTCTCTTTTTATAGAGAATTTTCGATAAATTCTCTTTTTATAGAGAATTTTCCATAAATTCTCTTCTTATAGAGAATTTTCGATAAATTCTCTTTTTATAGAGAATTTTCGATAAATTCTCTTTTTATAGAGAATTTTCGATAAATTCTCTTTTTATAGAGAATTTTCGATAAATTCTCTTTTTATAGAGAATTTTCGATAAATTCTCTTTTTATAGAGAATTTTCGATAAATTCTCTTTTTATAGAGAATTTTCGATAAATTCTCTTTTTATAGAGAATTTTCGATAAATTCTCTTTTTATAGAGAATTTTCCATAAATTCTCTTTTTATAGAGAATTTTCCATAAATTCTCTTTTTATAGAGAATTTTCGATATATCTCTTTAGAACAATATTTGTTCTCTATTTATAGAGAATTTTCAAAGAATTCTCTTTTTATAGAGAATTTTCAAAGAATTCTCTTTTTATAGAAAATTTTCCAAAAATTCTATTTTTATAGAGAATTTTCCATAAATTCTCTTTTTATAGAGAATTTTCCATAAATTCTCTTTTATAGAGAATTTTCCATAAATTCTCTTTTTATAGAGAATTTTCCATAAATTCTCTTTTTATAGAGAATTTTCCATAAATTCTCTTTTTATAGAGAATTTTCGATAAATTCTCTTTTTATAGAGAATTTTCGATAAATTCTCTTTTTATAGAGAATTTTCGATAAATTCTCTTTTTATAGAGAATTTTCGATAAATTCTCTTTTTATAGAGAATTTTCGATAAATTCTCTTTTTATAGAGAATTTTCGATAAATTCTCTTTTTATAGAGAATTTTCGATAAATTCTCTTTTTATAGAGAATTTTCGATAAATTCTCTTTTTATAGAGAATTTTCGATAAATTCTCTTTTTATAGAGAATTTTCGATAAATTCTCTTTTTATAGAGAATTTTCCATAAATTCTCTTTTTATAGAGAATTTTCCATAAATTCTCTTTTTTTCGATAAATTCTCTTTTTATAGAGAATTTTCCATAAATTCTCTTTTTTTCGATAAATTCTCTTTTTATAGAGAATTTTCGATAAATTCTCTTTTTATAGAGAATTTTCGATAAATTCTCTTTTTATAGAGAATTTTCGATAAATTCTCTTTTTATAGAGAATTTTCGATATATCTCTTTTTATAGAGAATTTTCGATAAATTCTCTTTTATAGAGAATTTTCGATAAATTCTCTTTTATAGAGAATTGTCGATAAATTCTCTTTTTATAGAGAATTTTCGATAAATTCTTTTTTATATAGAATTTTCGATAAATTCTCTTTTTATAGAGAATTTTCGATAAATTCTCTTTTTATAGAAAATTTTCGATAAATTCTCTTTTTATTTATAGAGAATTTTCGATAAATTCTCTTTTATAGAGAATTTTCGATAAATTCTCTTTTTATAGAGAATTTTCGATAAATTCTCTTTTTATAGAGAATTTTCGATAAATTCTCTTTTTATAGAGAATTTTCGATAAATTCTCTTTTTATAGAGAATTTTCGATAAATTCTCTTTTTATAGAGAATTTTCGATAAATTCTCTTTTTATAGAGAATTTTCGATAAATTCTCTTTTTATAGAGAATTTTCGATAAATTCTCTTTTTATAGAGAATTTTCGATAAATTCTCTTTTTATAGAGAATTTTCGATAAATTCTCTTTTTATAGAGAATTTTCGATAAATTCTCTTTTTATAGAGAATTTTCCATAAATTCTCTTCTTATAGAGAATTTTCGATAAATTCTCTTTTTATAGAGAATTTTCGATAAATTCTCTTTTTATAGAGAATTTTCGATAAATTCTCTTTTATAGAGAATTTTCGATAAATTCTCTTTTTATAGAGAATTTTCGATAAATTCTCTTTTTATAGAGAATTTTCGATAAATTCTCTTTTTATAGAGAATTTTTCATAAATTCTCTTTTATAGAGAATTTTCCATAAATTCTCTTTTATAGAGAATTTTCCATAAATTCTCTTTTTATAGAGAATTTTCGATATATCTCTTTAGAACAATATTTGTTCTCTATTTATAGAGAATTTTCAAAGAATTCTCTTTTTATAGAGAATTTTCAAAGAATTCTCTTTTTATAGAAAATTTTCCAAAAATTCTATTTTTATAGAGAATTTTCCATAAATTCTCTTTTTATAGAGAATTTTCCATAAATTCTCTTTTTATAGAGAATTTTCCATAAATTCTCTTTTTATAGAGAATTTTCGATATATCTCTTTTTATAGAGAATTTTCGATAAATTCTCTTTTTATAGAGAATTTTCGATAAATTCTCTTTTTATAGAGAATTTTCGATAAATTCTCTTTTTATAGAGAATTTTCGATAAATTCTCTTTTTATAGAGAATTTTCGATAAATTCTCTTTTTATAGAGAATTTTCGATAAATTCTCTTTTTATAGAGAATTTTCCATAAATTCTCTTTTTTTCGATAAATTCTCTTTTTATAGAGAATTTTCGATAAATTCTCTTTTTATAGAGAATTTTCGATAAATTCTCTTTTTATAGAGAATTTTCGATAAATTCTCTTTTTATAGAGAATTTTCGATAAATTCTCTTTTTATAGAGAATTTTCGATAAATTCTCTTTTTATAGAGAATTTTCGATATATCTCTTTTTATAGAGAATTTTCGATAAATTCTCTTTTTATAGAGAATTTTCGATAAATTCTCTTTTTATAGAGAATTGTCGATAAATTCTCTTTTTATAGAGAATTTTCGATAAATTCTCTTTTTATAGAGAATTTTCGATAAATTCTCTTTTTATAGAAAATTTTCGATAAATTCTCTTTTTATAGAGAATTTTCGATAAATTCTCTTTTATAGAGAATTTTCGATAAATTCTCTTTTTATAGAGAATTTTCGATAAATTCTCTTTTTATAGAGAATTTTCGATAAATTCTCTTTTTATAGAGAATTTTCGATAAATTCTCTTTTTATAGAGAATTTTCGATAAATTCTCTTTTTATAGAGAATTTTCGATAAATTCTCTTTTTATAGAGAATTTTTTGAAAGTTTTTGAAGTTTTTCTATCTTTTTTTAACAAAATTTTTCGAACAATTATCTTTTTTCTAACATTTCTGTTCTTTATAGTGATTTTTCAAAATTTTCCTCTAATAATGAAGGAAATGTCCAAATTTGGCAACTGGAGTGTATGAAAACATTTGTCCTTGACTGTATGCTACATTGAACAGTCCGTAAATAGAAAACTGACAAATTTTTGATAAACTGACAAATTGTTAATGAAATATATTTACAACAATCATTTCAAACTAAACAACAAATCGGCATAAATTACAAAGATTCCCATTAGGCCTCCAACACTCTAAATGACATTCAGCAACTTCAATTGAACCTGATAAATGTCATCCATCTCAAACTCTAACTATGCGAACAAAAACAAACACACATTTTTATTTTATAGTCAAGTTTTGAAATTAAATATTTATTTGATTTGTTTTTTTCTAGAGAATCTTTTTTTGCAAAAATATAAACAAAAAACTTGTTTATTAAAACGAATCAGAAACAATTTAATAACTATTTCCTTTATAATACTAGTTAGTTTTTATTACCAGATTTGAAAACCAAATGGCCGCATGACCTACTGATATTTTTTTTTTTGTTGTTTTAAAAACCAAATGACTGCTTTTAAATAAATTGTGGTAGTGGACGCTGTTCATCTTCTCTCATAAAGGTTAGAACAATATTTGTTTAAATCATAAACTTGAAATTACAAAGTTATTTTTAAATTACTTTTTGCACAGTAAAGGAATGAATACTTAAATACACGAAAAACTAACAAAAAAAATTCTAACAAAATAATATGGCCGTTAATGACCATTAAATGAAAACCTTATAAATCATGATATAAAAAATTTGACAACTGTCGTTGTTGAGAATATTTTTTTTTTGTTTCTAAACAAAAGTTCAAGAATTTGTAGTGTCATTTTTATCATCTCCAAGAATTAAAAATTTACTTGTTTAATATTTTTTTTTTTAATTTTATATTTTTATTATCAAAAATTTATTAATAAAATTGCTTAAATAACATTTTTTTAGATTTTTTTCTTTTTCTTGGGGTCAAGGTACTTGAGTTGAAAAACATTTTCTTTATATGTATATATTTTTTTAAATAATTTTGTGTTTGTGGTAATACTTTATTGTTTTATGTCTATCATTATTTAGTTATTAAGATTACGAGTATTTAACATTTCTAATATTTAAAGGGGTTGCTGGGTTTATTGTAGTTATAGCCATCGGGACCCAAAGAACCAGAATCTTCACCAGTGCCGGGCACTTCACCAGGATATGAAGGTTGAGGTTGTTGTGGTCCTGGATATGATGGCTGTGGTCTTGGTGCAGGTCCTTGAGATCCGGGATATGAGGGTTGTTGAGGTTGTGGTCTAGGACCTGGGCCGGGACGTGGTCCTGGACCTGAGGGTTGTTGACCTGGTGCTGGACCTTGAGGTTCAGGATAAGAGGGTTGTTGACCTGGACCAGAAGGTTGTGGTCCAGGTGCAGGACCTTGAGATCCGGGATATGAGGGCTGTTGAGGCTTGGCACCTGGTCCTGGACGTGGTCCGGGACCGCTTGGAGGGCTGACTTCATTATCTTGAGGTGGTAAATATTCACCATCTGGTTTACCAGGTCTTGGAGCAGGTTGTTGTGGTCTAGGTGCTGGAGGTTGAGGTCTTGGAGCTGGACCGGGAGCGGGACAACCTGGCTGAGGTGGTCCTGGACGAGAACAATCGGGTTGTGGACAGCCAGGAGTTCCAGGTCTTGAGCAATCTGGTTGTGGACAGCCAGGAGTACCAGGTCTTGAGCAATCAGGTTGTGGGCAGCCGGGAGTACCAGGTCTTGAGCAATCTGGTTGTGGACAGCCAGGAGTACCAGGTCTTGAGCAATCAGGTTGTGGACAGCCAGGAGTACCAGGTCTTGAGCAATCTGGTTGTGGACAGCCAGGAGTACCAGGTTGTGAGCAATCAGGTTCTGGACAGCCAGGAGTACCAGGTCTTGAGCAATCTGGCTGTGGTCTAGGTTGATATGTGGGACCAGGAGCTGGACGTCCGGGTTTAGGTCCTGGTGCGGGTCCTTGAGGTTTTGGGCCAGGTCGTGGTCTCTGTCCATTTGTAGACTTTTCTTCAGTACCTTGGGGAGGCAAATATTCCAAGCCAGGTTTACCAGGAGCACCTGGTTTAGGTCCTGGAGCGGGTCTTTGAGGTCCGGGAGCAGGTTGTTGTGGTCTACCAGCTGGTTGTTGAGGTCTGGGAGCTGGTTGTTGTGGTCTACCGCCTGGTTGTTGGGGTTTTGGTCCTGGTGCAGGTCCGGGTGCTGGGCAGCCAGGTTGTGGTGGTCCTGGACGAGAACAATCTGGTTCTGGACATCCTGGTTGGCCGGGTTGTGTGCAGTCTGGTTGCGGTTCGGGACATCCAGGCTGTCCAGGTTGAGAGCAATCAGGTTGTTGTGGTTTAGGTTGATAAGAAGGTCCGGGTGCTGGACGTCCTGGGAAAGGTCCTTGTGGTCTAGTCTGGTCTTTGGTAGAGGGTTGTTGTGGTCTTGGCTGTACACCGGGTCTTTGAGGTCTCTGATCAGGAGGTAAGTATTCCATACCGGGCTTTGAACCGGGTGCTGGGCGTCCTGGTGCCTGGCCTGGGCGACCAGGTTGTTCTTCAGGTGCTGGACAGCCAGGTTGAGGACGTGGAGCTGGACTACCAGGTCTTTGGGGACCCTGAGGAGCACAATCTGGTTGACCTTCGGGTTCTGGTCCTGATGGTTGATAAGATGGACCAGGAGCAGGTCCTGAAGGTTGGTAGGATGGAGCTGGACGGCCAGGGGCTGGTCCTGGTGCTGGACGACCAGGAGCAGGTCCTGAGGGTTGATATGAAGGTCCGGGAGCTGGACGGCCTGGAGCTGGTCCTGGTGCAGGTCCTGATGGTTGATATGAGGGTCCAGGTGCAGGGGCTGATGGTTGATATGAAGGTCCCGGAGCAGGTCCTGAAGGTTGATAAGATGGTCCGGCAGCAGGTCCAGATGGCTGATATGAAGGTCCTGGAGCTGGACGGCCTGGTGCTGATCCTGATGGTTGGTATGAAGGTCCGGGTGCAGGACGTCCTGGAGCTGGTCCTGGTCCACCTCTACCTGGCTGACCTTGTGGTGGTCCATAGCTGGGTGAAGGTCCTGCTGGTTGTTGTTCTGGTGGTATATAACTTGAACCAGGTCCTGAAGGTTGTTGACCAGTAGGACCGCTAGGTCCAGGAGCTGGACGGCCTGGAGCTGGTCCAAAACCGGGAGATGGACCGGGTCTACCAGGCTGAGGTCCAGCTGGAGATGGTCCAAAACCAGGCAATGCACCGGGTCTACCGGGTTGAGGTCCAGCTGGTGATGGTCCAAAACCAGGAGATGGACCGGATGGTTGTTGTCCTGGTGGCTGGTAGTCATCATCTATACCATTACCTGAGGGAGGTTGGGGAAATGGCACTGTGGGCAGTTTATAATGGTAGCCATCTTCTTGCAAATCTGTATCCAAATGTGAGACATCAGCATGGACACTGACAGCTGCCAAAAGCGCTAGCAGCGAGACGAATAATTTCTATAAAGAAAAAATAATGAGGAGAATTCAATAAGAAATTCAAAAAGGATTTTATACGAAAATATTGTTCCTTGACCCATTGACCTATAATTTTGTTTGTTTTTTTTTTCAAATTTTAAAACTGTCATCACAAATCGTTTGTGAATTTTTTTTTTGTCCAGTCATAAATTTCACTTAAGTTATTGCACTCATAACTTTATTAAGATTTTTATCTTCTTCGAAACCAAATGCAAATTCAAAATAGAAATATTTATTATCTAATGACTGCATTAAATACACAAATGATGCCATCATCATCAGCAGCAGCGCCAGGGCAAAAAACTAAAAATCCAAAAGTATTTGTCAGCATGAATTACAAACCCTTTTTGTGTGGATATAAAATACCAACAAAAACAAAATACTGTTGAAATTATCATTAAATCACTTCTTTACACAATTGCAACCGTAAGAAAGAAAATTTGGATTCGAAAACGAAAAAAAAACATACACAATATCCAAAACGAAACTGTTGCAGTTTTGACTGAACAGCAAAAATGGGAAAAAAAAGTTTGTCACGACTTTGGATGATGGGTTACTTGTTGTTGTGTGGAACCAAGTACTAATAAATTCAAGTACTACTGCAACAATAACAAATTCTCATTATTTATTGTATTTAACTAGCTGAATGACTAACTGTCTGTCTGTCTGGCAGTCTACAAGACTTGTAGTATTTTTTTCGGAGGTAATTTTTTATTTCAGATTTTCTTTGCTTAGATCTCATAGGGATTTTGTAATATTTACTTTATAGATTATTAAATGCGTTTATTTGATTGTCTTTTACTTGAGTTTGTTTTTGGTTTTTTGTTTAATTTATTTTTTAACTTTTTGTACACACACAATAAATGACATCTTAGAATTACAACATTTTAAGGCAAACACTCTTGACTGTTGAGGTTAATCTTTTATGAGATTTATTCTTGTAATTCTTTTTTTTTCAACAAATTTTGTTCTTCACTCACCATTTTGTTTACTTTTTTTCAAATATTATTTTTTTTAATTCTAATATAGTTTTTTATTAAAACTTTATAAAATCTTTAAAAAAAAGATTTTGTTTTTATTTTTTCGTATTTAATGAAAAAATCGTCTAAGTACAACCGTCCTCGTTTAGTGTGCTGTTGTCTGTTTAAGCTGAAATGTTTGAATGATGCACTAAAGTTCTCCCTTTGCCACTTTTATATAAAATCCGTCATAAGGAATTTCCGAAATAAAAAAAAAAAAAAATCGACTAGATACAACTACATATGAGCGACGACGAGCTAGCCCAATACACAACACAGTAACATCCACAATTTTTATAGCGCATGAAAAGAAGCTGAAACAAAGTTAAAAAAAAAACAGCAAACTTATTAATAGTAAAAACACAAACTGTTTTTGTAGTAGTTTTTGTTTTTTTTTTTTAACTTTTTTGTATATTTTAGCGCTAGACTAGAGATGAGCAGCTGAGAGCTTCTATAAAACACTATTTAGCAAAGCTTTCACGTATGATTTTGTTTACATTATCAAGTCTAGTCTATAGTCTAGTCTATAGTCTAGTCTATAGTCTAGTCTATAGTCTAGTCTATAGTCTAGTCTATAGTCTAGTCTATAGTCTAGTCTATAGTCTAGTCTATAGTCTAGTCTATAGTCTAGTCTATAGTCTAGTCTATAGTCTAGTCTATAGTCTAGTCTATAGTCTAGTCTATAGTCTAGCCTATAGTCTAGTCTATAGTCTAGTCTATAGTCTAGCCTATAGTCTAGTCTATAGTCTAGCCTATAGTCTAGTCTATAATCTAATCTATAGTCTAGTCTATAGTCTAGTCTAGTCTATAGTCTAGTATATTGTCCAGTGTATAGTCTTCTCTATAATCTAGTCTATAGTCTAGTCTATTGTCCAGTGTATAGTCTACTCTATAATCTAGTCTATAGTCTAGTCTATAGTATAGTCTTGTCTAGTCTATAGTCTAGTCTAGTCTATAGAAAAATATTAATTGAGTCACCTCACTCACCCATCACTATTGTGTACTACAATCTTCACCCTCTGCCTGCTATATCATCACATAAAAACCCCAGACAGACATAGTCTAACGTAGTAAGTTAGTCTTGTAGACAACAAACATCTCTTAATTCATGACGAGATGAGATTTATACTCAACTCTTTTAGTTACTGGTGGATACATTGTAGGTAGGTATATTTTTTTTATTTAGCATCTGTCGTATCTGTTTCAATTTTTTTCTCCAAAATATAAACCAAAAATTTCGTTGAGATTTGCTTACCTTTTGTAAACGAATTTTTTTTTTTTGTTTTACAACATTTTACACTTTGAGACATCTTTGATACTTGGGAATTGGTTATTCCTTAAACGTGTGTATTTTTGGTGTTTTAAATGACAAATGTTTTAGGTTTTTCTGTTTTATAACATCATCCTATATGTAGAATCTGATACTGAGACAATTGGGATTCAATTGTGGTTGAAAAGACATATTTATTAAAAGATCCTCGTAGGAAAAATCCTTTCAAGGAAATATTAAGGTTATTAAAATGTAGTTGAGATTATTGTACTGGAGTGGGAAAAATTGTTAGAGATCTATGAGAGTCGTGACCTGTGCATCGATGATTTCATAGCTTTTGCGACCGAAGCCTAATAAACGAACTACTACTAACTAACTAACTAACTAACTAACTACTAACTAACTAACTACTAACTAACTAACTAACTAACTAACTAACTAACTAACTAACTAACTAACTAACACTAACTAACTAACTAACTAACTAACTAACTAACTAACTACTAACTAACTAACTAACTAACTAACTAACTAACTAACTAACTAACTAACTAACTAACTAACTAACTAACTACTAACTAACTAACTACTAACTAACTAACTAACTAACTAACTAACTAACTACTAACTAACTAACTAACTAACTAACTAACTACTAACTAACTAACTAACTAACTAACTAACTAACTAACTAACTAACTAACTAACTAACTAACTAACTAACTAACTAACTAACTAACTAACTAACTAACTAACTAACTAACTAACTAACTAACTAACTAACTAACTAACTAACTAACTACTAACTAACTAACTACTAACTAACTAACTAACTAACTAACTAACTAACTAACTAACTAACTAACTAACTAACTAACTAACTAACTAACTAACTAACTAACTAACTAACTAACTAACTAACTAACTACTAACTAACTAACTAACTAACTAACTAACTAACTAACTAACTAACTAACTAACTAACTAACTAACTAACTAACTAACTAACTAACTAACTAACTAACTAACTAACTAACTAACTAACTAACTAACTAACTAACTAACTAACTAACTAACTAACTAACTAACTAACTAACTAACTAACTAACTAACTAACTAACTAACTAACTAACTAACTAACTAACTAACTAACTAACTAACTAACTAACTAACTAACTAACTAACTAACTAACTAACTAACTAACTAACTAACTACTACTAACTAACTAACTAACTAACTAACTAACTAACTAACTAACTAACTAACTAACTAAACTAACTAACTACTAACTAACTAACTAACTAACTAACTAACTAACTAACTAACTAACTAACTAACTAACTAACTAACTAACTAACTAACTAACTAACTACTAACTAACTAACTAACTAACTAAACTAACTAACTAACTAACTACTAACTAACTAACTAACTAACTAACTAACTAACTAACTAACTAACTAACTAACTAATAACTAACTAACTAACTAACTAACTAACTAACTAACTAACTACTAACTACTAACTAACTAACTAACTAACTAACTAACTACTAACTAACTAACTAACTACTAACTAACTAACTAACTAACTAACTAACTAACTAACTAACCTAACTAACTAACTAAACTAACTACTAACTAACTAACTAACTAACTAACTAACTAACTAACTAACTAACTAACTACTACTACAACTAACTAACTAACTACGTAACTAACTACCTAACTAACTAACTAACTGCTATCTATAAATGTGGTTGAGAGCGTTTCCTTCAAACTTTTCTTATAAGCATCATCATCAACTGCACACTTATTAGTTCAAAAACAATCGAACCCTGGGTAAATTATTTGCTTTTTCGGCTTTTGTGTGCTAATGAAGTTTTAAAAATCATAATTTTTTTCCTCCACTTAGTTTTCATTTTTTTGTTTATTTGTATTAAATATCAAACCTTAACTTAACAACTTCATTTGTAACGTCTTTAAAAACACATTAAAGTCAACAGACATTACTTGATGGCTAAATCTCAAATTTAGTGTAAAACATTGAAAATTGCCAAATAAATTATGATTAGTTTTAGACAATGAAAAGAATTTTGTATGCTTAATATTTAGAAAAAAAGTAATAAAACTACAAAGGTTAATTATTAGAATTTTGTATAGAAAATTTGTTTAATTAAACTTTAAATTACAAAAGGAAAATTATTAAGGGCCTAATGATTCATTAATATAAAATAATTTTATATTTTTCTTATATTTGTAAACATATTTGTTAACCAAATACTTTTTTGTTTGTTTTATTAATTATATGTTTTTTTTTCTTCTGTGATTTATTAATTAGTTTCTGTTTCTTTTCCTATTTCTGCAGAAATTTAAATAAAAAACTAGAAATGTTACGTCACATAAATTCTTTTAATAACTAAAAATAAATTTAAAATATTCTCGGTCTTAAATCTATGTCTTGTTAAATCATGTGTGTGCATGCTATTTTGTTTATTTATTTTTTTCCTTAATTAATTTGATAACGAAACCAAAAATTAAAAAACAGCTCATCTTCTATATGTATTAAAAATGCAAATTTTAAAATGTTTTGATTAATTTTTGAGTTCTAGTGAATGGAATTGTTATTCGTGAGAATTATTGTCTCCAAATGTTAATTTTTGTTATTACTACACTCAAACACTTATCAACTGCAGATTTTAGATTAGAAAAATATATTTTTAAAGTATAAATTAACTGAAATGAAATTAATTTTGTAAAGAAAGAATTGTATTTTTATTCTTTTGAAGTAATGAACCAGTTTTTTATTTTAATTTTTAAATTCAGATTTAAATCATGTTCCTTTTCTAAATCTTTTGTTTAAAATTGACATACATACTATTTAAATTATTTTCTATTTATATAATATAAAGGAAAAATTTGCTAAGAATTCGTAATTATTTAAGTGACAAATGGTTATTATTCAATGGCGATTTAATTTAGAAATACGAGAGACGAGAAAAAAGCTCTTAGCAGAGAATTTTTGGGGAAAAATAATAATAAAATTGACTTTATCGAAAATTTTCTTTAAAAAGAGAATTTATCGAAAATTATCTATAAAAATAAAATTTATCGAAGTTTCCCTCTTAAAAGAGAATTTATCGATAATTTTCTATAAAAACAGAATTTGTCGAAAAATCTCTTGAAAAAGAGAATTTATCGAAAAATCTCTTTAAAATGAGAATTTATCGGAATATCTCATTAAAAAGAGAATTTATCGAAAAATGTCTTTAAAAAGAGAATTTATCGAAGTTTCCCTATTAAAAGAGAATTTATCGATAATTTTCTATAAAAAGAGAATTTATCGAAAATTCTCTATAAAAAGAGAATTTATCGAAAATTCTCTATAAAAAGAGAATTTATCGAAAATTCTCTATAAAAAGAGAATTTATCGAAAATTCTCTACAAAAAGAGAATTTATCGAAAATTGACTATAAAAAGAGAATTTATCGAAAATTGACTATAAAAAGAGAATTCATCGAAAATTCTCTATAAAAAGAGAATTCATCGAAAATTCTCTATAAAAAGAGAATTTATCGAAAATTCTCTATAAAGAGAGAATTTATCGAAAATTCTCTATAAAGAGAGAATTTATAGAAAATTCTCTATAAAGAGAGAATTTATCGAAAATTCTCTATAAAGAGAGAATTTATCGAAAATTCTCTATAAAGAGAGAATTTATCGAAAATTCTCTATAAAAAGAGAATTTATCGAAAATTCTCTATAAAAAGAGGATTTATCGAAAATTCTCTATAAAAAGAGAATTTATCGAAAATTCTCTATAAAAAGAGAATTTATCGAAAATTCTCTATAAAAAGAGAATTTATCGAAAATTCTCTATAAAAAGAGAATTCAACGAAAATTGACTATAAAAAGAAAATTTATCGAAAATTGACTATAAAAAGAGAATTCATCGAAAATTCTCTATAAAAAGAGAAT